AACTGCTATAATTAGATAGAATATCTGACAGATTCTCATTTATATCATTCAGAGAATTTTTATAACTTTAATAGAGAGTTATATCAATCAATCTCTTCATACTGTGCATTGATATGAGTGTGATCTGAAATCAGTGTTGATTTTATATATTTATTGCTCTCACAAGTATCTAGAAATTTATATCTGAGTCAGTTAATTTGATTTTATACTCACAGTCAGATTTACTGTATACACTCACAGTAAACAACTTCTCAGCAGTATAAAGTGATGAATATTATAATAATAGAAATAAGAAAAGAAGAGAGATATTCTCTATAAAGTGAATGAAGACTGATCATGAACAGAGTGCAGAGAAGTGTATATTATTTTTTTATATTTAAAGAACAGAAGAATGAACTGAGCTTTAGAGAGATGATAAATTTTATATAGAGCTATAATCACTGACAAATAGACTGAGTGATGAGTGAAGACTGTGAGTAATTGAAAAATTGTTTATAATAGCTCTGTTGCAGAATATTGTGATGTATACTGAAGTAATTATATAATTATATAATTAATATATAAAGATTGAGCAGTGAGGCTGTGGACAGAGCACACTGCATTTAAACTATAGAAAACAGTTATAAAGACCACAGAAAAGAGCTGCTTCAATGTAAATTGAAATTCTTTATAAGAAAAAAGAGATATTTCAGTGAATTATATTTACTAAATTTTCAATCTCACTATTAATCTTCTATTTTTTACAAAGCTAGAAAATCAAGATTTCAGATATCAATTATCTGATATCATTTCTTTTTATTTTACAATAAAAACTCTGAATAATATTAACTTTATCACTGTTTGTATATTCAAAAAATTAATCTATAAAATAATAGAATAAGAATTTCAAATAGACATTCATTATCTATTTCAGACTGTTCATTTTATGGCCAAATTTTACAATTACAGAGATATAATATTAATAATTATGAGAAAATCTAGCAATCAATCTAATAATTGCAATTCTCTGATAAAAATACTCATGAAATAATATATCACTCTAGAGTATATTTATACTGATATAATTATCACACTAATGAAAAATCTATTATTCAGTATCTATATTAAAAAATCTAAAATAGATTTCTTCTGTAATAGCTGTGTCAAAGTAAGTATAATATATAAATTCTTACAAACTTTTATATTATAAGTGTTGTAAGTAATATAATGTATTTATATCAACCTTGCTGACAGCAGTTGTATACTGAATGATATATCTAATTACTCTATAGAATCTCATCAAAAAATCAAATATTATATACTTATTATTAATGATATCATCTGTTATAAATAAATCTATTTTTTATATACTAAGAATCAAGCTATCAAATTTTATATTCACTGAATTCAATTTATAAAAAATCTCAGCTTCATATTATCAGTACTAGTTAGAACTGATATTGATGATATTTTTTGATCAAATAAAATGATAATAATAATAATCAAAAATAACACTATCTAAGAATCTACTATATTTCAATCCTTTCATTAAGATGATATTTCTGAGAGAGAAATTCACACAATAATAATATATATTAGAGCAGTACTTATAGATATGAATATACTGAAAAAGTTCTAAACAGATATTTTTGAAACAGTGATTACAATTATCAATAATATACTAATATCTATCACTCTATATAATAAGAAATACTGATCTATTAATACTGAAGAAGCATCTATACAATATTTCTATATTATTTCATTCTCAGTATTAATTAATATCTCACTTCAACTTTATTATTTTAGAGAGCTAAATATTGATGTTTATATACATTTTTATAAATCTCAAAAATTTACTGATAAGCTGTCTGTTAGAGCAGAAATTTTTAAATTTATAGAATTTTATAATAACTCAATCTATTATCTCTAAAGTTCTATAACTGATAAAATAATTATCATCAGTAATATTATTTTCTCTATAAAGAAATCTTCAATTTTGTAGAATAATATTAATTATACAATACTCAAAACTGTAAGTTCAGTAACTTATTTTATTGATAATACTGCTATTTCTGAATTAGCTGATATTAAATAAATAAAATCAGTAAAAGTATTTGTTATCTATATTTCTTCTTCTCTCATCAGTTCTGTTCTAAAAGAATATAAGAATATTATTAATAGATATAAAAGAGTTAATAAATATTGACAAAAGTCAATAAAATATAAAATTGCAGATTTGAAATAAAAAAATATTTAAATAATAATTTCATATTCTAATATCTCTTCTGATAAGTCAGTGATTCTCAGCTACTGAGTTTATATTAAAAAAAATTACTCTCAGAATCTTAATATAAATTCTGATGATATATTATGAAAATCTCAATAAATAGTATATAACAATTGATTAAAGAAGAGTGCATGCAAAGAAATATACACATTTATTATCAATGATACTACTAATTGTATAATGTTTATAATAGCAGTGAAGTGAGATTGAATTTTATATCAGATTAATATAGTTATAGTCTATCTACACAACTAATTTAATAAAACAATTTATATACAGCAATCTATTGAATTTAAGATAAAAACTTTATATACAATAATTTGTATTATTATAGACTCTCTATATAAATTGAACCCCACTGCTAAGATTTGATATGATTTTCTTATAATATTACTCTGTAAGAATGACTTCAAATCTAGCCTCTACAACTCTGCTTTATAATATTATATATTCTACAATTATCTTTATATTATAATAAAAGATTCAGTAGATGTCAATTGACTAATTAATATTCTCATCAATAAATTAGAAATAAAAGATTTAAAAGAATCTTCAAAATACTTAGATATGAAGATTGAATATCATCTCAATAATATTATAAAATTAATATTGAGATGCTATATTAATTATTTAGTGTAAGATTTCTGTCTAGACAATATCATTTCTGTCTCTATATCAATATTTGAAAAAATAAAGATAGACAATATCTCTGTATCAGAATGAGAAGAAAAGTTTATTAAAAAATAATATTAATACAGAGTAGAATGCTTGCAGTATCTGACAGTCAAATTATACTCAGATATTATATAAATAGTATTTCTACTAGCACAGAAGAATACTATATCTATATCTAAAATATAAAAAACTCTTCTTTATATTATATAATATCTAAAAAAAATAAGTGATCTAGATATTTTATATAAAAATCTCAAGAATAAAATCAATAAATTTCTCAATATATTATATTTACTGATAAATTATATAGATTCAGATTAAGCAGAATCATTGAATAGTGAATATAAATTTATTTTAAATTTTATATTCAAGTTAGCAGATGCATCAATTTTATAATATTTATTCAAACAATCTTATATTTCTTTAAATTCAAATAAAACAGAATATATAACACTCAGTGAAGCAGTATACAAAGCAATATGATTATATAATATAATAATGAAACTAAAATTTATTACAGCAAAGAATCTCTTGCTCATCAGAGTAGATAATAAAGATTTAATCAATTTAACTATTATTACTACAATTACAGTATACAGTAAGTATATTGACATTTACTTTCACTATTCTCACACACAACTGAATGAAGACATTATTTCAATTAATTATATTCTCACTGAGAATATAATAGCAGATGAATTAATCAAATCTCTGAACACAGTGATATTTAGATATTTTATTAAATTACTAGAACTTTTCACTGACAACAGTAAGAATGATTAAATTTCTGTATATAATATGTTTTTGAGATGATCTAGGTTAAAATAGCTAGCATGGAATATTTATAGAAACACATCACACACATTGATATGTGAGGGGGTTAGACTGACTGTGTGATTATACATGAGACTGGGACTAAATTTTTCCTCAGTTTCATTATTAGATATCTTAGTTCTGATTCCATATAGTGTTTAGCAAATTAGTTACTTTATACTGTTTATATTATAAATCTAGTCTCAGATCATGTTTTACTAATAAATTAGTGATTCTGATTCCATTTGATCTCATTTTACAAAATGGAATCAAATGAGATCATGATTTACCCTATATAGATTGGCAGTGATAGATAGGTTGGCAGTGGTAGATAGATTGACAGTGGTAGATAGATTGACAGCAATAGATTAGCAGTGATAGATTAGCAGTGATAGATTAGCAGTGATAGATTAGCAGTGATAGATAGATTGGCAGCAGTAGATAGATTGATAGTGATAGATAGATTGACAGCAATAGATTAGCAGCAATAGATTAGCAGCAATAGATTAGCAGTGATAGATAGATTGGCAGCAGTAGATAGATTGGCAGTGGTAGATAGATTGGCAGCAGTGGGTAGATTGGCAGTGGTGGGTAGATTGACAGCAGCACTAAGCAAGATAGAGGTAATATCTCCACCAATCATATCATCAGATTGATGTATTATATAATCATCAGAATGGGACCAAACTTGAGTCAAAATCATGATCAGTCTCAGATCATGTTCTGATTTTGATAGTCAGTCACTTTACATGGAATATCAAGATTTTTTAGTCCCATTTCACTCATGTTTTGATAATTCTAGTCACTTTACACTCCCATTCTGGTCCTGGTCCCACTAAAATCATGCCAAGAAATGGACTGGGACCAAACCAAACCAAACCAAATGTGTAATTCATGGTCCCGGCGGCCAGTCTAGGGGGGGTGTTGGGCACTAGTTGCCCAGGTGGCCCTCCACCACACGTGATTACCCCTATATAGTTAGCTAGCGACCACAACAATAACAAGATCAACCATCCCACACAAGGTTCCTTTGCAATTATCACGTGTTATCGAAGCCCTAACTGTGCTCAAGCTATCCAGCTCGGCCCGAGCTAAAACTCTAGAACTCTCTGAGCTTTGAGGGCCATTCCACCATGCGAGTCTCAATCCTCTCTATTTCCCCTGTTTTCCCGGAGTTTGTATGGGGAAAATTACATAACTCTAAATGCCAGTACTGGCATTGGTAGCATTTTAATCGCCGTCACTCGCTATGAAAAGTCCACGTAGGAAAATTTTGAATTGACTATGGCATGGCGACTACAGTCTCTATAGCAATAGCTCACATACGCCCCAGCGAACCAGCCATACGTCCGTAATCCAGCCCTTACTCTTTACACCGTCAACAGCTCATACGATAATTGCGAAGGATTCTGATGAACACGGATATCATGAGGCCACCCCGGGTCGTTTGATTTTCTTCCAGTACTTGGATAATGCAACTGCTCTCTTCAGCTTCAGCTTTCTATGTTATTTCTCCCATTCCACACCATGGTGGCCGTCAATAAAAGTCCTGCCCGCCAGACGGCCGGTTTAATTTTTGGTACCCCATCGAATCGGCTCTGGTGTTCCCACAACAAGTTAAGACGGATACCCAGTTGCCGTGGGAGCCTGGGCAGGATATTGGATGATTCCAAAAGGTGAAGACACCATATACAGGAGAATTGTGCACTAAAATCTCGAGATTGCAAAATTGAAATTCAGGCTGCAACCCTACCGCGGCCTGACGGTAGGAAAGATACGAAATCATATCGCTTCAGAAAACCAGGATTTCGACATGGCTCTCGCAAGAAGTGTACCGGTCGCGTAGATCTGCGCGGTTGAGAAATTGAAGAAGAGGTAAATGTAAATCTTTCATGTCGAATATGCCCCGCTTCTTCTGGTCAACGTATGAGCCATCGATGACAATCCGTTGGAGTTGTTTGAGACTTAACTCGCCTGATACAGAACAGGTCAGATCCTTTTTAAATTTCACCGAAATAACCTGTCAATAGAGACACTCACCAGAGGTAGCCAAATCGTTCAATCGCACAGGGGTCCCGATCCCAATACCAACTCTGCAGGCTATTAGCACCTATTCATTACTTGACATTTTCCCAGTGAAACCTACCTTGTTTTTTTCACAAACTCCTTGGCTTCAGCCAGCTTGATATGTTTCGCGAATAATTTCGCCACTGCACAGTCTTTGTTTTGGAATTGCCGAAGCGCTCTAGAAAGGATCCGTTAATGAATGCATTGCCAATGACTACGCTACAGTGAACAAATAACTTTATAAACGGAAATGCTAACCTCGTAATATCTGCCGCCCTGAGGCCCGCGAGCGTGATCACTATTGTATGCGGACTGCCGTTTTCTTTAGGGGCAGTTGAAAGGGAGTCGGGGCTTCCTTTCTTCCTGCTATAAACCTTCAAAAACGCGGGCAGATTTTCTAACTTTCTTGGTGACTTCCATGAAGTCGTATCGAGAAACGCCTGTTCTGTTCCAAGGTCAGTGCGAGGTTCGGAAATAAACAGATTATGCTTGCGCGTTGATGACCAAACATAATTCCCAAAGTTTAAACATGTAAAATGTACCTATCTTACCTGGTACATAGACATCGTCCAATTCGATGGCGGTCAATTCGCTGTTGTGCCTTTTGGCTTGTTGTGCGAAGAAATCCGCTAGGAGAGGCCCGTCCATCTTGCCAATAGACTCATCTATTCCATCCTTCTTGTCTGCATCTTTCGGGTCTTCAACAATTTGCTTCGTTCTCTTGCGTTTCCTCTTCTCGATACCCCCCTCATCAGCTGCTGCCCCTGGCGCTGTGGGAAGTGCATGCTGTGCTGGCCCAGTGTCTGCCTCGTCTCCTCTACATCTTTTCTTCCCGGCTTTAATTAAGGGTTTCGATTGCGCAGGCAAACCCATGGCGACTTTAGTGTCAATGGTATTTCTTCAGAGGAAATGTAGCTCAAGCCCGACTTCCTTTTGCTAAGTGAAGCTTCAACTTTTGATCGAAATTTTGGCTGTTCGGCTTAGTCATCAACCCATATCTTATCAGCAAGTCTCTTGGCCTCCATCTTGCACCGAAGGGAACAAAAACATCGAAATGAACGCGTCGCAGTCAAGCATTTGCAAAGTTATCCTCACAGAGAATAAACCCGCTGCATTTCAGAGTTTAAATATACCGTTTTACATGCACATGGAAACGGACACCTAGTATCGATCATGTCGTCACCCTCCAAACAAACCAAGAGCAGAACCCCTCGAGGCAAACAGAATAGAAATTCTTCAGACCACGAGAGCCCCCTCAATGCCGTAAGTGAAATGGTGATTGCGGGATGGAAAAATGTACAAAGATATTTACTAAGTATCCTTTGATGTATTCATTTTTTGTTTCACATAGCTTCACCAACTCGCCGGAACCCTAAACCCTACAACCCCCGCGCAAACCTCTGTTCCTCCTCCACTTTCCACCAACAGAGCTTCCGCCAGGCACACACCGCGTGGTGCATATTCAGGTACCAATGCTGCTCCTGCGACTCCTCATGCTCTACGCGCGCTTCAAAGACGTGCAGCTACGTATACTCCTGGGCGGGATCGGAGGAAAAGCGGACGGATGCAGCGAGAAACGCCCATGGATGTCCTGAGGAACTTGGGAAAAGGTTCGTAAACAGTGATTACTGCATTCCTTGGTTAGGTGAGATATATATGTATATATGTTTGCTGATTGTCATGTTTTCTTGAAACATAGTACTGGCCCCTACCACGCGACCAGTGTCATCATCACCACAAGAAGAGCCAGAGAAGCCGCCGCCGCAACCGATCGATGATCTTGATGAAGAACCCGATCTTCCAAGGCCTAGGCTTTCACTGCCGCTCACGGAAATGATTGTACAAGGCGACGGGAGTCCAGATATTCAACCTCCTAGACTGTCACTGGCTATCGAGGAGGATATCGATCAAACCTGGAGATCAATTGAAATGCCAAGACGAGATCGGAGCATACAAGATCGAACAACTCTTTCCAGAGTTAGCATGGGGAGCAACCGTTTCAGTGACCGCTTTGGTGACCTCAGCAGAATGGAAGATCTAGAGGAGGAGGAAGCAGAGTATACGATATTTCAAGGAGATGATGAAGATGACCATGGACAAGATACGGGACTTGTTTTCGACGCAGGGTAAGGGTTTGCCAATTTTTTCCCCTATATACTCAAGGCTAATTTTACAAAAGAGGAGAGACCGAAGATTTGCGACGTTTCAATCTGGACTTTTCCTTCCCTACACCAGACGTAACGACTGCTAGAATTTCTGGAAATCAACTCCAGCAAGAATATGAGGATTTTGCACTTGATATGAATCCTGATGTGGACACAGGCTTTCCATCGTCTGATAGCATTGTCGAGGAAGGAGGCATTGAGCTTGCATTCCAAGGCGACTTTTCCAGACCAGCGCTTCCTTCGAGCAGTCCGGAGCCAGCACCTCAAGTGATGGTGAAAGGTAACAAACGACAAAAGCTATCACGACACGGCATTCCCGTACCACAGCTGCCCTCCGGTATCGTGAAAAAGCTAGCCACCCGGTTTGCCCGGACTGGAGGTGGGGGAAAGTCGAGAATCAGCAAGGATACCCTGGCTGCTATTGAGCAGGCTACCGAATGGTATTTTGAGCAGGCGAGTGATGACCTCTCGACATACGCGAAACATGCGGGCAGAAAGACAATCGATGAGACGGATGTCACGACACTCATGAGAAGGTAAAATTTCCCCCTTCTCCTGACTTGGGTCCCTCTTCAACTGGGAATTAAATCCTAAACTATATGCTAATGCGGGAGATAGACAACGGCATATTGGCAAAAACACTACAATGTTTGCGCTTGCCCAAAAACATCTGCCGAAGGAGCTTCTGCACGACATCCGGCTTCCAAAACGCTGAAATTTTCCATTCCACGGAACAGCGACTATGCTGTTACGTTCAAACTCAGAAGACTAATTCGCCCAGGTAAAGAGCGGAGGGATTCGTCTATCTCGCGGCTACCAGCCTTTATTATGTCGTACACGTCGTGTGATCTCGTTAGGCTTCTTTCTAACAACCATCCAGAACATTATTGCGGTGGCCAATGACAGACCGTACCTAGACACGCAATTAATAATTTAGATGCAAGATCGGGACACGCAAGGTTGAGCAGATGGCAAAAATCGCCTACCATGTTACGATATACTGAGCGTGATTATTCCTGAGATTTACCTCAGGTGCACGCCCGATAGGAATGCCCTTTGCTTCTCTATGATATATCGCGAGGAGCTCAGGATCTAAAGATCCCGTCGTCAGTCTTTGGGTGATACATTCATCGGGGCGTGTGAAGACATAACAAAGCAATTCTTACGCATTGTTTCTTCAATCCAGATTGGTTGGCTACCAGTAAGCTCTGCCATCTGCGCTACATCCGGAAAATAGAACTTTCCCTCTTCCGGTTTATTTTCCGGTGTGAACATATTTTTCTTCCACGGGGCGCGCAGTAATCCTTCCACTGTAACTTCTCCCTCAGGTAAACCCTCCTTCCTATCTCTTTGGTCTTTGCGATCCTTTGCGACCCAGCCTCGATTAACGAGCACCGTGCTCCCGGCATCACCTCGCTCAAGTGGTGTGATGACTAGATATCCATCCTTGCCCTCATACAAACGTGGCCCGATGAGCATTTCTTGGTCATGTCTGAGGCGGCCCGTAGCATATACACGGCGATAGTCAAAGTCGGAGATAGCGTTTGGATCGACGACAGGTGGAAGGGGTAGGGGCGATTTAACGAGACGGTCTTCGTATTTAGCGATGAGCTTGGTTTTCCAATCCAAGCGCTGGACTTGCCATGTTCCGAGGGCAAACGCTGTAATGGGTATGATAGCTACATGATAGAGAAATTATTAATAGAGAAATCATTAATGTAAGATTTCAGAGAGACGTCTTTTTATATATAAAGAGGAAATTCTTCCACCTGCAGCAATATTTGCATCAGCCTACCTAGAATTATCAATCCCGGGCCATGCCTCTTCCCAGTTTTTACGAGCTTTGCGGGATTATCCACGACAGACATCCAGCTCGGGTCGTCGGCTGGTTGATGGGCAAAGCGGACCTGTTGCTTTCTCCAGCAGCGCGCGCATATCGAATCCGCATTCAGCCTCCGTGGTGCGGTTCGTAACGGGGTGCCGGAGAATGCAGAAGCAAATTGCTGTAGCGGGAAAAATGAGGACTTCATTGGAAATGCAGAATATAGTACAATAGTACACAATATGAACGAAGAGAAAATCAACCAAATGAACAAGGAAATAAAATAACGAATGGTTCTTTGCCTGGAACGGCAGGTTTAAAAAAAAACGATCATGAGTGTTGATCGGAAGAAGGAACGCCGCAAGGAGGGTTGGTCCGTGCACAGTCTAACATCATATGCCAGGGCAGTTGTTGTGTTCAATACTATACACGCATTCTCCACCACGAAGATACTCAAAACATGTTTTACTCAGGGGATTTACAAGGTGGCATAGCTCTTGCAGTCAGCGAAGCCAAACATGTTATATGCTTTGTCCGAGGTTTGTCCCTTAAATGACCCCCACATCGAATGCATTGCTCCATCTATCTGCTGGTGAAGTGTGTTCGAAAGTGTAAACCATATGCTGATAAACATCGCGGCCTTGTCGCAATGTGTCTAATGTAGATGACACAAACGAAAGCTTGAAATGGGAGAATGAGTATCTAGCAAGTGAGGAGGTATGGATATGTTTTATGAAGCCGTGTTTTTATGAGTGATGTATGGATTTACGCTGACGATTAATATATCTACCAGATAAGGACATTAGTGAAATCGAAAACAGTCTCTCTGCGGCTCCAAGCAGGTTCAGTAGAAGCAGGCTACTTAACTTCGTTTTGCCCTATAAGCAAAATACCCGCGTTGGTAGTTATAAAGTGAGATTTCGTTCCATTAGCCATGCTTCGTTAGTCGGCGAACCATGCGCTGACTGATGTTCTTAGAAACGGCGTGGTTCGAGAATATATCGTATCGGGCGTCTCTGAGGAGGATTTCAAGCGTCGATTAAAAAAGGGGCTCGAAGATTCCCCTGCACCAACTCCCCAGGTAGCACCGCAGCCATCACAAATAGAGAGAAATAGTTCTCCTGGGGTACTCACTCCGGTATCCTCCGGCCCTCTTTCAGCACATACCCCAGACCAGGACTCGGAATCTACGGAGGAGCAGTGGCAGGGAGCTTCTGAACGTCAAAGGAGGGAAAGCATACGAGCCGGCAAACGACGAGCCGAGACTATCGAAGAGCCAGAAAATGACCAAAAGGCTCCTCCATCACAAACTCAGAGCTGGCTGTTAGAACAGCGGAAACAAGAACAACAGAAGAAAGATGAACGGAATCGAATATTAAACCAAATCAAGCGTGACGCTGAAGATCGGAAAGCGAGAGAGGAATCACGAAAAGAATCTCTCGTGTCGTCAACCAATAATGAAAACAATACGCCAAAAACTGGAAACAAACAGCCGCAAGCGAAATTTAAACCAAATCAATTCCGCCTACAAATACGTCTCTTTGATGGCAGCTCAGTACGCTCGAGTTTCTCACCAACGCAGACCATTCAAAATGACGTTCGTCGCTGGCTAGATGGCCAGCGCTCAGATGGCGACACACCATACAATTTAAAACAGATCCTCACGCCCCTCCCCAGCCGTACTATATCAGTCGCAGAAGAAAACAAAACGCTTGAGGAACTCGGGCTAGGCCCCACTGCAAATCTCGTAATGGTTCCAGTGCGCACATACACAGAAGCGTATGCCTCGGCGGAAGCCTCACTTCCCGTTAGAGGGCTATATGCTGGTTATAACCTTGTTACTGGAACCGTTGGTGCCGTAGCAGGGGCCATAGGGTCAATTCTAGGGATATCTCTGCATCCAGCTGCCAGTACCGGGCCAGCAGCGGCTGAGCTACCATCCGCAGCAGAGGGGCCTAGTAGAGCTAATTTTCGGGGAGGTAGGAATGGCAGATCGAATGTGAGAACTCTCCATGACGGTGATGATGATGATGGAGAAGGGCGACAATTTTATAACGGGAATCAGGTATGGATCTATCTTTTCCCGGGTCGTTTCTTTCCAAATCAGCGGCTCCCTTTCTTACAGATATGTTTGAAGAAAGCTTTGACTGGTTCTTCTACCTGATCTTACTAATATGGGATATTATAACCTTTAGTTAAATTTCGAGCCCCGTACGGATCAAGAAAACGAGCAAATACGGAACGATTGACCTAGTCATGGAAGCCTATATCGTCAAACTTCATCTTTTCTGATTTTAAAAATGGAGTTCGGAAGCATTGCTTTTTTTTTTTTTTTTTTTTTTTTTTGTTGATTCGCTAGCACTCTTCCACCGAAAAATGAACACTCTCAGTTCCCTCATGACTTTAGCATATTGATAACAGGGGATTGTCGTTGTTGGAAATGGGGTTTTTCTCTTTTTCTCTTGCTTGCTCTTTATTTCTATATGATCGTGCTTCCATCTTCCGCAAGGGTACAGCGTATTTTGCAACTTTCTTGACGCACTACGTGTGTATGTATATAAGTACAAAATGTAAAAACAAAACAGAACCGAATCGAAATCAACTGGACCAGGTTCAGCGAATCCTGGTCGATTGTATGTATGTACGCTATAGAAAATGATATTGATCACGATTCCATTAGATCCACCATCGTTTCGAGTAAGTGGCGAACGTGAAACCGTAGGGAGTAGAGAGCCGGTTTCTTTTAATACTGCTTAGCAGCCTGTTGGCAAGCTTTCTACACAAATAGTTAGCGTCTGCAACTCGTCGCCAAAGAATTAAAAAATATGAAAGTATTGAATATCATACCAGCTGATCCAAATACCACCCGCAAATTGACATATTACCCTGGTTATCATCCATGCACTTTCTGAACGCACGCACATCAGTCTCGCACGCAGGCGTCTCAGCCCAGCCGCTAGAGGAGCTGTTGCTCTGATAGAGTCCGCTATCCATCGACTGAGCGGCGGCGGGTGGAGGTGCTTGTTGAGCCTCAGCTGGGGCGCTCGAGCCACCGCCGAAAAAACCGCCGATGGCATGTCCGATAGAAGACCCGACTGCGACACCACTGAATTTCGCAATAAGCTGTTAGTTCTGACATTCTTATCCTGATTTTTTATTCCATCTCACTGAGGCGGGTCATTAGAGTGAGTGTGCTTACGCAGCGGTGGAGGCCATCTGGCCGAATAAGCCCGGCCCAGAGCTCTGCTGCACAGGGGCAGCTTGGGCGGCTGGTGGTTGAGCGGCATTTGTGGTAGCTGGGGGATGGGCAGCTGTGGTAGCAGAGCGTTGTTGTTGGGCGGGAGCGGGTCGGGCGGGAGCAGCGCCTGGTCTCGGAGGAGCGCTACGGGCAGGAGGAGCAGCACCACGGCGTTGACGAGCCATTTTCGAGATGTGCAAAGGCGGATCACTTGTTTCGATATGCGGGGGTAGGGTTATAGAAAGTATCAATGGTCTATGAAGCTATGGTGGGCGAGTGTTGGAATTGGAGCGGAAATGATTGAGGGTTCTTCTAACAGAGAGTGTTGACTGATGATAAATTTGCTGAGGCTCAAAGCCGGGAAGAATAGTCGGACCGGTGCGGAGTAAACGGGCTCCGATTGGCTCAACGGCGGAAAGGCCAGCCGAGGTATACGCCATTCTACGATGCCTACGGAAGGAAGAGTTACTGTATGATATGAAGGCGCAGACTTTGGAGGGAATTTTTTTCTTTTTTTCCAGTATCTAACTTCTTAACTGTACACCCGATGTCATGCCTCTCAATACCCTAGCTCCCTCCCAGATAAGGCCCAAGTCATCCCCACGCGTTCTGTTGGAAGAGACATTTCGGCGAAAGACACTTAGACTGGTGATGCTAGAACATTCTGTTGAGCAAAGACATGGATGGCTACCAACCAAATCACCATCTAGCTGACACACGTTCCCTTGGAGGGTGGGATAAGCCCCGGCTCATGCGCACATTCCAATCCAAGAGGACAAACACCAAGTTGCGATCGGAATTTACGCGTACATACAATGGCGCAACCCACCCAGAGAATCGAGAACGTCAAACGCCACTATTGGTCCCTCGAATGAACGGGGTCTTCCAGCATCAAACCGGCTCGCAAATCAACCATTACTTTGGTTGTTAGCTTTCCTGACAGCTTGTTTATGCTTCCTTCTCGCTTGCCTTTGCTCCTTCCGCGCCTGAGCTTTCTGCGTTTGAGCCTTCTGCGCCTGAGGCTTCTGCGACTGAACTTTCTTCTTTCCTTTGTCCTTTTTACCCTTCGGCGAACGACCCAAGGACGGCATCACTTTTAGATGCTGACCACCTTTGCTTCCTGTATTCCCCAATTCAGAATCAACTTCCGTCGGGGCTTGTTGCTCCTTAGAAGTTATGCTTTGAGTTTGGGATTGGGGCTGGGATTTAGATGCTTGTTGACGAGCAAGCTTCGCAGCTTTCAATAGTGCCATGGCTTTTTCCTTTGCCTCTCTTTCTGCCCGCTCCAGATCATATTTGTCGTTTCCAGTCTGTGGTGCGAAGAAGGATCATTAAACGGAATTGTTAGATAGTGATCATATAAGGAGAAAGGGGATCTGACCAGTCCATGTTTTATAAATCGTCCAGCGGCTTCCTTGTCGACAGCCGTAGTCCGTTTCTCAGGAACGGTCTCTACAGTTTTGAGCTTCTCGAAGTACTGCTTAACTCGGGTCAATTCTTTAAACACTGGGTGTTCTTTCGCATTTACGCCCTGGAGGCGCAAATAAGCTAGAAACCCATTAGTATAGGAGCAAATGGGGTAGAAGGTGAGCGTAGAGCCAGGGTAAGGGAGACATCGTACAGAAAATCAAGGATTCAATAGCATAGGTGATCAGAACATGAAGCTTTGCCTTGTCCATCACGGGCATTTTCTGCGTAGTTGCAGACAGAGGCTGGCCCAGGAGAGGCTCGAGGACATCCTCAAGATCATCGATATTGTCCTCCAGCTGCTCTATTAACGGTGTCAAGTCTGTAGTCTCCATAGTCACCGAGTTGCCAACTTCCGTGTGGGCTTGTGGAGATGATAATTTTCTGTTCCAGAAAAGTTTGGGATTATGTCAGGGTTGACTAACTGCCGACTTTAGCGCAGTTCACAATATGGATATGACGATGCCAGCAAATATTTCTATCCCCGTTCAATAATATGCAATGTCTTAACACATATAATAATTGATGGAGCTACGCGAAAGTCCTAAATTGCGCTGAATTCAAGAAGTGTTGTTGTATATTTCCTCCGACGTCACCCATAATAACATGGCCAATTGCAGTTTTCGAGACCATATACTTTGGACATAAAGGTCTCGAAACATCCTTTGGGAGATCTAATCTCCAATAACACTATCTATTGCAATCGAATCGGGATGCAGCCTCCAGCGTGAGCTATGATAAAGAGTCACACCACCAAACACTCCACGCCTGGTGCAAGCTAAATATTTCAGGCATAGCAGCAGTTAATATGCAGGTCGGCCTCACCACCATCCGGCTCTTCGCAAGATGCCCTGATGCCGTCCGGATACGCTCAGTTTCCTTCCGGCTCTTTCATTCCACACTCAAGCAGCCCCATGACGATTCCGCCAAACCTCAGCGTCCGCTTCAGGAACAGAGAATACCGTCGCGAATACACATTATAGGTGTGGGAAATATTGGAGGATTCCTGGCCCACTCTTTAGCTGGTGATACTAAACACCTGCCAATAACCCTCTTACTGCACAACTCCAAGACACTGGAACGGTGGGGAAAGAATAGGCAACGGATAACGTTGGTACGAAATGGACTCGCAGAGCATAGATGGGGCTTCGATATCAATGTTAAAAGAGATGGTGTTTGGTATTACGTGCCGCAGGATTCGAAACTAGCCCAGGAACAGAAGAGAGCTGGCGGGTATGTTGAGCGAGATCCCATAGACGCAAACGAGGAAATTATTGACAACTTGATCGTCGCTTCGAAGGCTACAAGGGTGCGGTGGGTGTTAGAATCTGTTAAACATCGTCTCACCCCGTATTCTACAATTGTCTTCGTACATAATGGCCTAGGGGTCCAGGAACAAGTGAACGAACACGTTTTCCCCGATCCGAAGACTCGCCCGAGTTACATTTTTGGAGTAATCTCTCATGGGTTGTTTAAGATGGATCATTTTGTGATCAAACATGCAGGAGTCGGGACATGTTTATTGAGCATCGGATACACAAACCCGCTGGCCAGAGCCAAGACGGAAAAGGATATCGTGGAGTATAAGAAGACGCGGGAACTGGAACGAATAGCAGTCGGTCATGAGCAAACAGAAGAACAACAAAAACAGGAGGGAGAAAATATAATACAGCCAGGAGAACTCCAGGATGAAGAACGGCTACAACACCAAAAAGACCTCCTATCACTCCATGAAGAAGCCGAATCAAGCATGCCCAAAGATGTGTGGTCATCCTCCTCTCTCTACCTAATACGGGTCTTAACCCGTAACACCCAGCTAGTCGCCGCCGCAGTTCCTTCGGACACTTTCCTCCAACACCAACTTGAAAAGCTGGCCATAAACTGCATCATCAACCCTCTCACCGTCATTTTCGACTGTTTCAATGGTGACCTCCTCTACAACTACCATATCTCCCGTGTCCAACGGCTACTCCTCCTTGAAATCTCTGCTGTCATCTGCGCTTTGCCGGAACTGCAGGGAATTCCCGGTATACAAGCGCGGTTCGCGCCTGACCGCTTGCGCACCCTTGCGGTGAGTGTTATGGCGAACACGGCCAAGAACATCAGTTCTATGCTGCAGGATGTGCGGCTGCGAAATCCGACGGAGATTAAGTATATGAATGGTTATATTGTGAAGAGGGGGGAGGAGTTGGGGATCAAGTGTGCATTGAACTACATGGTGGTTCAGATGGTGTTGGCTCGAGAGAAAATTAAGCTCGCGAAGGAATTTGGAGATGTCCCTATGGTTATTGAGCCGGAGGTGGCTGGGCGGGCTTAGATGATAATGATATTTTCATTTGTACTCGTATAGGACATATAACTAACTATGGCTTTCGGTGTTGGCATATCCTAAGGATAAAATAAAGCCCCCTTCTCCCTTTAAGTTAGACAACTTGATATCATTATCTCCAATAATATTTTGCGGTCAATCAACAACAGCCTTCAGTGCCCCGTTGCATAGTTCTATTATCTGCTTCCACCTCATATAGATGATTTTAAATTGCGGTTCCCTGCGATACTTCCCGTCTAGCTGTAGTGCTGTTAACTTCAAGAGGGCCACTTCGGACTCATGAATATACGCGCGTATCCAAGCTGCGATGATCAAATTCGTCTTCCTCTGATCAAAACTTGCTGGTTGGTATCCAAGTATATGGCTATTCCAATCATCAGGAGTCATATATTTCATGCAGGCAGCTACTTCAGTTCGATAGCAGGGTCCTTCGCTGGTTATTCTGTAGTTTCTATTCATGTGTGGTATGTTAGGGAGGGGGCCTCTGTTGGCCCCAAGGGCAAAGAAAGAGAATGAAAAATGAAAGGGGATGAAAGAATAAAAGGGACAGCAAACTAAAACTAAAACTTGGAGGGGATCAAAATTAGTAGCGGGTAAGTCACTCACCCAAGATATCTGTCAATTCTGAGAGCTTCGATATCTTTGGAGGAGAAGTCTTTGAGAATTATGTCATCTAGGAACAGGTCATCCCATTTATTCTGGGCGGGGATAAATCCATCTTTTGTGATATAAGCTTTCACGCGTTCACATATAGCTTTCGACATGTAGCTAGTTTTTCCCAATGAATCAATGTGAAACTCACAATCGGTCAGAAGCACATCGCCCGAATGATTGCCATACGAAATAAATATCTCCTCTCCTTTCTCTAGTCAATTTAGATAATCGTTAGTACGATATAGTGTATCATACTTGGCCATATCTGGAGAGAAAGACGATACCGTAAGCCCTGGACGTTTTGAAAGTATAGAAATCGTCGTTGAAAGAAACCTCACACTGTTCATCCATCCATCAGTAGTAAGTTCATTACGACGTGTCCTAGCCAGCTATTCATCAGGGATAAGTAGTACTCACACCACCCTCATCTATATGGTTGAAATAATCCCCGAAGGGGCAGAGTGCCATGGCATCATAGCGATCTTCAGGCGCCGATGTGCCCACAGGAATATGGTGGAACGATCTCGTATTTACAATAAGCCAGTAGTATGTGTAAGTATCTTTGTCAATTTCTTGAAAGACCTGCTTGATGACCCGATATGCCTTGTCAAAGCGCTTTTCCTGCTCTGGTAAGAGATTTTGATGTTCTGCTGTGTATGCACACTTTATGGGTCTTTTCGCTATTGTGTTCCACGAACCGGAGATGGACGAAGGAAGCAATGGGTAAGAGGGACCAGAGGTTTTAATGCCCTTGAGACGCTGGGCCCAAAGAATGGGTAGCGTATCCTCGAAGTCTTGCCGTGAAGGCCAGACAGCTCGCCATGGGGCAAATTTCTCCTGGAACTCTTCTGCACAACATATATACGCTGCATACAATCCTTGAACAGGAATATTATCTGGGAATTTTTCCCGGAATTTTGAGGGTATGCTTTTCGTTGTCAGCATCAGGCCGATTGGAACCCTTATGATCACCTCTCCAACCTAGAAGGATGTTGTTAGTAGAGACGATATGACGCTACAGGAAGGGACTTATGTATAATTTGATTTATCTATTCTTCATTTGAGTAGAATAAAAAGTCGTTGGATACGATATTTACATCAATGTTCCTTTGGGCTGCAATCCCAACGCCCTGGCCAGGGAACTGCGCCGGCGCGACCCCATTGATTTCAACGCCTTGTGATATTGCCCATTCGGTGAATTTTTCATGTTCTGGTCCGGCTGAGCTTGGAGAGTGGTGCATTTTCTCAGGGCCGAAGAATTCTTTGAACGCTAACAACAACAATAAATAGAATGAAGCGGTTGGGTTGACGATGTTAAAGAAATAACAAGAAACACAGGGTATGTATGTTGAAACGGAAGAAGAACGGTAGAGAAGATATCTCTAGAACTTTGAATACTAACAGCAATGAGAGTGGTTTGAATTGTCCAAGAATCCAGGGGTGTTTTGAGTCACAGCGATTATTAAGATCATGCTCGGTGCCAAGCCTGGGCCTTTCAGGGGTTTTCAGATATATATTTCTTCAGACTACAAGTGGACATGATCTTTACTCCTACAGTGGACGTGCTCCAGGAATCAATTTTAGATGGCTAGGCCAAATTGCGATGAGTTGGCCCTGCCTGAACTCACTTTTCCAAACAGAAAGACATCTATCTGCACACTGTTAGACTGGAGATGGATAACTAGTATAACTCACCCAGCATCAATTTTCCATGTCGTGATACCAGTTTCGGACCTTTTGCCATATAGCAAGAGTCCGTACCTTATTAAACCCTGTGGGAATGCTAGGGGTCCTTCAGGGTCTGGAGATGCCAGGGCCGCCCGGAAGCCTGGGGGAATGTCCTCAATATGAGGAGTGCACAAATGCGATGCAGTGATTTCAAAGTTGCCCACGACTTCTACCACACCATCGTTGGCCTGCCAGTTGTTGCTGAGAGGGAAGTTTCCCTGAAAGTATCTGAGTTTGCAAATACGCTGCTGTCTACGATGGCGATAGGATATGCGTGCAGTGATGAGATTGAAGCCTGTAGAGCATCTTCCACACTTACCGTTGCTGAATGAACGCTCTCCTCATCGAGCTTGCTGACTACGGATCGAGGGAGGTCTCTGGACAGATTACCGCTGTCACGCCTGGTGGTTCTACTTGGATCAATTTCTATACCTTCAATTGACTATGCCGGGTTCTTTTCTCTGAGGCCACCGAAGCTGCTCGTCTGTAAACACAGATCACATGAATAAGGAATGTCCACTTGCTGGTGTCCTGTGATTCTCAGTGAAAACAACACAATATGCAGTTCGGCAACCTCCCCGACGACGTCATGGCTACACTTGATCGAAAATTGAGGACGGCTGAGAAGTTTTAGAATAGGAGATGACCTCCTCGAAATTAAGTTTCTAGTAGAAGGGTGCATTGCTGGGGAAATAATTTGTGAAGATTGAGATGTGCCGCGAACGCAACCTGTCTCCATGATATTTCTGAAATTGACAATGTCTCTTCTTTTCAGGAGATAGGATAATTAATTCTATAGAGTCATAGTATTGCGGTGTCTCTGTCTATAGAAGGTTCCCTTGCGTACATAAATGTTGTTCATGCTGATCCTCGGCACAGCTGGAGTTATGCCACGGAAGGATGGAGCCCATTCCTGCATCTGGAGTCAAAGTTCTTCTTCATGGCCCTGGAACAGCCAGTGCTCATCAATATCCTGCCTCTCCTCTTCAGTCCCCGCGATCTACAGCATACATGCTTTCATCTCATCCACTTTCCGCTTCACCTGCTCGTTGAGGCTAATCATTCCATAGCAAATGGTAACGTCCGCTAAATATATATTTACCAATTCCCCCAAAACTCCTCTTTACAAGGAGGCAAGAAATAATAAGTTACAATAGACGATCTTGCTTACTCGTCAAGCGGGTACGTAGATGCGACTTCCAAAAGCACAGGTAAATTAGGGCTCTCCATTGCCCGCGCTTTAGTACAAAATGCTTTGAAAAGGGTGTCCTTGCTCGGTAATGAAAACTCTCTTCGCTTCTTGGGCGTTTCAATACGCAATCTGTTATCTTGCATATAACAACTAAGTTGCTTTTCCATACTCTCTTCAACAAGAGCCGTATATAAATCCTGAAGGATACTGGTATCGGAGCTAGGGACAATGGTCCCCATAATATTATCGCTGTTCAACACTATACTGGCGGCCGACCGTCTGACGCGTCGATCTTCGTCTCTTAGAAGGGATATAAGGCCCTGCACTGCATCTTCTGGTAGACTGTTCTGCTTTCCTAAAACAATGGCGGCCGACCGTCTAATATATCGCTCATCATCTCTTAGAAGGGGTATAAGGCCCTGCACTGCATCTTCTGGTAGATTGTTCTGCTTTCCTAAAACAATGGCGGCCAACTGTCTAATATATCGATCATCATCTCTTAGAAGGGATATAACACCTGGTAGTGCATATCCTGGGAGCTTGTTCTGCGCTTCTAGAGTTTTAATGGCCAAAAATCTGATATCTTGGTTATCATCTTTCAGCAGAGATGTAAGACCCTGAAGTGCATCTTCTGGTAGACTGTTCTCTTCTAAAATCATGGTAGCCAACCGTCTGATATCTCGATCTTCATCTCTTAGAAGGGATATAACATCTGGTAGTGTATATCCTGGGAACTTGTTCTGCACTTCTAGAGCTTCAATGGCCAACAATCTGATATCTTGGTTATCATCTTTCAGCAGAGATGTAAGACCCTGAAGTGCATCTTCTGGTAGACTGTTCTGCTTTCCTAAAACAATGGCAGCCAACCGTCTGATATCTCGATCTTCATCTCTTAGAAGGGATATAACATCTGGTAGTGCATATCCTGGGAACTTGTTCTGCGCTTCTAGAGCTTCAATGGCCAACAATCTGATATATTGGTTATCATCTTTCAGCAGAGATGTAAGACCCTGAAGTGCATCTTCTGGTAGACTGTTCTCTTCTAAAATCATGGTAGCCAACAGTTTGATATCAATTTTATTTCTCAGCAGGAGTACGAAGCCATGCAGTACACCTCGCGGTAGATTTTTTTCCTTTCTTAGAGCTTCGATAACAAATGATTTGATATCTTCATCTTTATCTCTCAGCTGTGACATGAAGCGATGTATCTTATCTATTTGACCAAACAATACGGACTTCTTTTCATCTCTCGGTAGGTAGTCGTACGTCGCTAGATATTTAGCAATCGGCTGTTTAACAGCTAAAATTCTCAGGTGTAATTCAAAGTGCGGTAGTGTAATATATAAAAGGTCGTTAAGCTCTTCTTGAAGCCTCGGAGCTAAATGCCAATCACCCCTCCATATATCTTTAGATATAGGGCCCTGAAATGCTGCTTTGCGTAAGCCATTATGCTTTTTTAACCCCATATCCAACCGCATATCATTCCGAAATTCATGTTCACTTCCGGACATGAGCGCATCTTTCGGTAAGATATCATGTCTGACTAGACCCACAGTGGCCGACCATCTAACATTCGGATTTCCATCCCTCAGCAGGGATACGAGGCATTGCAGCCCATCTTCGGGTAGACTGTTCTGCATTCCTAGAGTTTCGACAACAACCGATTTAATCATAGAATGTTCATCTTTATCCATCAGTAGGGATCCAAGGCCACGTAGCGCATATTTCGGTAAGTTATTATATTTTCTTAGAGCTTCAGCGGTCGAACGTCTTACAGTCACACCTTGAGATTTATCTCCTAGCAGAGATACGAGCCCCTGCACAAGGTCTAATGTAAGATAGTGTCGCTGATTTAAAGCATATAGAATGGCAAGTAGTTCGCCTGACTTCGTTAGAATCATTTTGTTCAAAACACAATTTGGAAATTCCGTTTCGCGGCAGAGGTACATTTTATGCAGAAGTTTATGCTCAAAGAGAGACCATTGTTCGCATCGGTTATTCATATTCTCATGAATACTATTCAGATTTGACTTGATGCCCGAGCGGGGTACTTCGTTAAAGCAATGCATAAGCAACTGTAGATGTGCTGGTCCTAGCAAGTCCCGGGGCTCATTTTCCAGTTGTTGGAAAAAATAGGGGAGTTTTTCACTGTAATCAATGAAGAGCAGACCGGAAACAAATCGCCAGAAGATGTTATAGCGTCCGTTGTACTTTTCTCGACGAAGGAACTCTTCAGGTGAAATTTCTGCTGGTTGTCTTTGCTTTAAAAGGTTAAGTTTGGAGCCGGGGTGTTCCTCGGGCGTCCAACATCGTACAAAGTATCTCGCCGCAAAATACTCTTGGAATGTCAGATGCAAAAAGTGGTACTGCTTTTTTCTGTGCTGCAAATATGCGTCGGAGGAGCGAAGAAAGGAGAGGTTTGCCAGAACATTGTCTGTGACCTTGAAGCGCCGGAGTTCTTTATAAGCTTCCATTCGGAAATCATTGTCGAACTCAATGATATTGTAATAGAGACCAGCAAAGGCAAGGTACTCAACAATAGCCATTTCAGCCTCGATAAACTCTTCTATTTGCCAAATTTCAGTATAGTTTTCAATGGACGTTGTTGTCAATGGCCCGTCATCGTCCTTCTTCCCTAGCCGTATAGCATCCTTCTTCCACAGGCTCAACTCAATGTTGTGATAGAGCATGGTCATAGTCATTGATTCTTTTCCTTTTCCTTCCCCGTCCATTGAGTCATTATCCCATGTGAAAGAGAGTGCGTCCAGCAGGATAGGTATTCGAGCCAGCCCTTGAATAACAGGGTGACTTTTAATAAATGACCGAATATTATGAGCGATTATATCGGATTTATCGGCTCTATCAGCTTTGAGAGTCTTTGCAAGGTACTCATCAACTTGCTTTGGTTGAAACCCAACTGCCTCCAACTCCAAATCAAATTCCTTAGGCAAACTGACGCCTAGTGGCCGAGAAGTAACGATGACTTGTGGCCATGCTAAAAGCTCATCAAGTAGTCGGCTTGTGTCCGTTCCAGAATTCAGTTCGCGGGACATCTCATCCAGTCCGTCGAGAATAAAGAGAATCCTGCCAGCATATGCACGGTTATTCACCATGCTCCACAGCCGCTTAGCCAGGGCTTCTCCATCGTGGTGAGAAAGAAAGTATTCATTATAAAACAGGTCTCCAAAATTCCTGTATCCTTTGTTTCCTTGTAACTGCGTCTTAAGTCTCCGCAGAGGTACCCATAAAATACAGTCAAACCATTGCTTCCACATGTCTTTTTGAATATAATCATGGACGATTTTTTTACATAGAGTGGTTTTCCCGACCCCTGCGCGCCCTCGAATAAATATGCGTCTAGGTAAAAGTTTTTTGTCGTCTAGCTCCCGCTCATCGAAAAGCGACGGCAAAGATATTATTTCACCCTGATCAGTCGTCTCTACTTTCAGACGAGAGAAGAGTGAGAAAGGCGTGACAGTTTGGGATCCAGACAGCTGTCGCTTGTGTTCAACGATGGTTAAGTTAATATAACACTGCTCCATATCCAGAAGCGCGCCCGACAGCCGCTCAATCCGGAGAAGATCACTCTTAAAGTAATATTTTTTTAAGAGAACAAGTGGATCGTCTATGGCTATAAGCAAGTTAATATGCTGCCTAAGAAACACACATTCGACGGGAGTAGTTGTGCTTTTTACGTTGCATTGGTTGGAAAACACGATCAGTTGTCACTTACCGGCGTGATCACTTTTGGGCATCATTCTCAAATAGTCCCTTGCGTACGCTGCCGCTGTGGCCGCTGCGTAAGCCTGCCAGATTTTGTTCTTATGCGAATCTGAATAATCGCATATACCACGAACCACAAGACAATCATGTCCTTGAACGACACCAGCACCCTCCATTTCAAAACAAATAACTTGAAGTCGGTTTTGAAGGTCATTTCTCATATCTTCTGATCTCTGGACCTGGTTGCTGGAGGCAATATTACCATAGTGGATCTTTGGAGTATCTGCCGGCCTGACTGCTTCGATGCCTCGACTGTCCCGGTTTTTCGACCGACTCAGGTCACAGTGACCTTCACAAGGTCGGTCTCGGAATCTCTGCGGATGGTCATATTCTATAAAAAGGTTATCCATATGGGCGCCTGGGTCTTCAAATTTATCCCGCTCATCTCTATCTATTCTTGTTCGCATTTCACGCAGGTATGGAGGAAGACTTGCTCTTCTATAGGCTTGATGATCTGCTTTAAGCAAGTTGGCCGTTTCGAGTAATCGGGAAGAAGGGCCATTTATATGCCCACGTTTTTCAAGCTGGCCACCCTTGACCCAGGCCCCAGAGTCATATCGAACGACACCGCCATAATCACCAAACGGAACACTGACAACCACATCTCCTAACACAATCTCGGATTTTGCACCGGGTGGGCCGTAACTCGGAACTCCGCCTCCTATGCCAACAACCAAGAAAAATTCAATATTTTTGAAAGCAGAACGCATTCTGGCAGCGAGATCTGATGCCGCATCTGTGCCCATTTTGTGTTGTACACCCATCACGACATAGTGTTCGCCCATTTTTCCTCCATAGAAAGAATGACCATCAAAATCAATCTTCTCAATGCTCCTACTCTCAAACATGCCTTTTGCAGCAGTCAGCTCCAAGGGCAAGGGCGCAATCCACCCTACAGTGTATCTAGCACAATCCATGATATTCTAGGCACCTGCTTGCGAAAGGGCCATATGGGAGTCGATATGACCATGGGCTGTGTTCACGTCTCTGCAGCCGATCAGTAACTTAGTTATTTCCTAGAAGAGTATCCATTTTAACAGTCATAGGCAACAGTTCAACACTGAAATCCGAGCGAGAATGGACTCACCAAAACATGGTATGGTTCCCCAAGGCTGCAAAGTCGAGTTTAAGCCTTATATTTCATGCATCCAAGACCATTTAATTCACATATCAACGGCTCAATTTGACTCGCAATTGGAAAGAACTGAGAATTTCGATTGTGTTAGCACGTGGTGACAATGGCGGGGTAGACCGTAGGTCGACCTCCCAGCGCCTGTGAAGGCACAGCTCATCCTGGCAACTGATTCATTCGCGATAAGGCAGAGCACAAAAACCAAGCCTCGAGATGACCGACGGTATTGACCTTTACTGAGCGGGCCGAACAAATCGACTGCCTATTGAGTTTTCTGCGTTTCATTATCGCAGCAGTATAAGTGCACTCAGCGTCAATCGCAATCAATCAATCCAGTTATTCCTTTTTTTTTTTTTTTTTTTTTTTTTGATTTTCTTCTATTCTCTTTGATCAGAAATGAGCGTGGGATGGAGTTGTATTGCATGTAGGCAGCCGACATTTAGGTGCGGTGCGCTAGTCCGTGATAGGCAGCCTAGCGCCAACATAAGCTGGGGGTCATGGCGCTGGTGGTGTTCGAGCTCTTTTGCCCCAGTGACCTAAAGCCTCTGGCTACATCACCAGATTGTGATCGCTCTCAGGAAGCGATGCCCGAAACGGGTTCATATAAGGGCCTGTTCGGTGATTTTGTCCGTACAGTGCCAGGGCTGTACAGAAAGTGGATATTTGCCTTTTGACAGCATAAACCTTCATTATTGCCGCCTTTTCCTATATGAATATTAATCTGCTTGGTGTTCTGGCATTACTTTTATTACTTATAAGCAGTTTTTATCATGATGATTATCATGCAATTCCAGCAGACACATTGCAGTTGAAAATCCCATTATATTACTACTTTCTCACATCAAATATCAGTGAAAAATAAATCTTGATGAGTCTCAGATTGATCTGATATCACAATATCTTGATGAATCCTTGATAAGCAAGAGTCAGCAGTCTGATTCTCCAATGCTAGTCATCTGAGTCATGCAGCAAGCCTTCCCACTCTATACTCAGTGAGTCCAGTGAGGCCCTCAAGTTCAAACTGATTGAACCTCTGACATGGAGCTGGTCATACTCAATATCTTTATTGATGCCAAAAAACAAGGTTTGAAGATAGACAACAGTAATTACAAAAGTGTTATTTGGTCTTCAATTATTGATACTGTCAGTCAGCATACACATCAATCTATTATCAAAGATATATATGAGAATTGATGGTGGAAGATTAAAATAATTTGAAGATTGTGATATAAGCATCAACAACAGATATCTGGGTGGTCATTCTGTCAAGAAAAAATGACATTTATCAATGATATTGAGATTATCAGTGTGTATTTCAATCAATATCTGAAAATACAACAATTTCAATATCAAGAATCTGTGTATTCAGAACTCATCAGAGAACTGCTTGATGATCAATTGGCAACAGATGATTATGCTATAGAATATCATACTCATCAGCAAAGAAAAAGAGAAGAGATAATGAGTGAAAATACTAGTAATGTTGAAACAGAGAAGAAATTGATATTTATATCCACATTTTTTTTGACACTCACATCTGTTGTAGAATCTCTTGAAGCAGCTTATCAAAGCTCTGCTAGCTCATCTCAATCATCTGTGAGAATATCAACTGAAACAAACACTCAAAATCAATTACTCAAAAAAAAATTTGAGAACAGTATTAATACTCTGAGAGAAGTTATAAGAGAATCTACAACAGTTAAATTAAGAGTTGAGCAGTCAGATAATATCAAGCAAACAATCAGACTATTTTTAAATGAGATTCAGAATTTGCTTTCAGAGGATTGAAAGATTGATGATCAAATTTCTTATTCACAATATAGTAAGATATCATTGCTTTTTTGAGATTCAAATATATCAGATCTCTATCTTAATTATAGTGCAGAGTCAATAGAGAATTGATGAAGCTTTATACTGACTCTATTTAATTCAGAAGAGCAGTAATAGAAGTAGTAAGATAAAGAAGAAATAATGATAGAAGTAGTGATAGAAGTAGTTGTGGAATTAGTGACAGAAATAGTTGTGGAATTAGTGGCAAAAAATAATAGTGAAGGCTTCTTTGTATCTACAATATCAATAAAATAAAGAATGAATGAAGAGATTTCTTTGATAAATTATCAAAATAACAGTATTTACATTGAATAACATGGTTATAAAACATCACCATTTTTTGTATGAGAAGGTTAGATAAATATGTTAGTTCTATTGATTGATAAATTACAGCATGTATTATATATCATCAAATACACTGATAAAATACATATATTACTGCAATGAAAGTGAGAAGATGTTTGAAATATCAATATTACTGTGAAAAGTATTCAATCTACTTGATTGCTTTATTGAGACTAGCTAGCTTGTTTAAGTGTTATTATAATTCTCACTCAGATATTTCTTATACTGCTTCCACATCTGCTCAGTAATATCATTTCATTTTTTCATCATTTCATCACTATTCTCTTGAACATCTGCAGAAACTGTTTCTCTTCTTTTCTTCTTAATATTAAAATTCTCATCATATTGAGTAAGCTCATTTATTTTCTTATAGTGATTTATAAAGTTATGAACTGCTGCTAATGCAAAAACCAGATCAATTTGAGTTGTTATAGAGAATTCATCTCAACATCAATTATAGATTTGAAATCACCATTTAAACATCTCAAACACACACTCAATTACATCTCACAAGCTCACATAGCAAAGATTATATAGCTCTGAAGTATTGACAGATTGAGAATTTACTTTTTCTCATTTCTTTAGATAATATTGAACTTCTGAATATGAAATCAATATTAAGCTGAATTTCTGTAAATAATCAGCATCTACTAAAAAATAGTAGTCAGATAATATAATTTCAAATTGATCTCTTTTCTGTATCTGTGAAAGAACTCTACTATCATAAGAAGATTCTTTCATTTCAGAGTAGATATATACAAAGTTCATATTGTGATCACAGACAGTGAGAATATTTTGAGATATTCATCTCTTTCAATTTCATCATACAGATTGCTGATTCAAAGAAATAGAAATAGATAAATAAGTCTCATCTAGAGCTTCAATACATTCTTTGAAGAAAGGTCAATATTATGAATTTGAATCAAGAGCTTTCTTGCTATATTTCATTGAGGATTTGAGCATCTTGATATAATGCTTATAGAGTATGCAGAGCAATTTCAAAACCTCATGAAAGACTCTATACAAGTTATTAGTATAACATCAATTTGATGAGTATTCTATTATTTGTACTTATTTGAATATTGTGTTTAATAAATGATGAAATATCTCTGCAGTGTTCCAATAGCTCATTCTCTGTGTTATAATATACAAGAATATGAGAATCTTCTGCTCAATCTTTATAGCATGTATTACTTCAAATTCATAAATATCAGTATTACTTCTCAGCCAATCAATCAGTGCAATGAATGTACTGACACTCATCCATGTCATATTCTTAATACACAGTGAATGAAAGATAGAATCCAACAACTGAGTAGTAAATTGAAATTCATAAAATGAATCAGAATATATGAATTATATGTCAGATAAGACAGTTGAGATGCTCTGACAAATCACTTCTGCAGCAGCAAGTCTGATTAATTGTTGTCTATAATATAGATACTATCATATTGTCTTCTGAGTTGCATTGTCACTGTTGCTCATCATAATTCTTGATTTTTAATGATATTTGCAGATTTCAAGTCAGTCAGCACTGAATTGAGTCAGCACAAATCATGACTTGTTTCAGCATATACAGTACAGATTTAACTTGATTAGATTTAAATTTACCACTTTTTCAACTAATTACACTGTTGAACTCTATAAAGTGGATTTTGAAGTCAGCTTGGCACTCTTGGTGAGTTATATAGAGTTATACACAAAATCTATCAAACAGCAGACCTTTTTCAGCCAGATTAGTGCGTACAGAGCTGTATAAGTCTGTATAGCTGGCACTGTATGGACTTATACAGCCCTGGACGGGGTCACCGAACAGGCCCTAAATGTACTAGTATCTTTAAGTGTCTACGCTTGGATTTCGTTGCAAGTATGAGGAACTTCGTATTGCCATTACTGGTGACAACACCGATAGTGTCACTAGATTGCTAGACGAAGGGGCACCAATGATTCTAGAACACTTTGCTCTTGCGTAATGTCCTCGAATTGTTTCTTGATCACGGATATAATATAAATGCCGCTGTCGATACAAAGACACCCTCAGCAATTGTGTGAGTTTTGCCAGATAGCCTGTACTGTGTCTGATGATTGATGTATCCTAGGTACACCTTTGGCGACACAGCTCTTCTAGAATGGTTTTTGAAGCATGGCGCCAATCCAAACAAACGCTGTCACGTCCGTGACTGTACCCCATTGTCCTTCGCTGTTTTGGAGGGTTCACTTGAAGTCATCGAGATACTCTTCGAGAATGGGGGGTCATCTTCCCCAGGCCAGTTATTACACTACGCAGCCATGCGCAAGACCACAGATAGCTTGGCAGTTCTGGAATATATTTACAACAAATGCCCGGAGATAAATGCCTCGAATATCAACAAGTTGCTGGATCAGGATTCTCCTGAGGATTTCGCGATGAACCGTAGGGCGGGACTTGGTACTCCACTTCATTACGCGGCACTAGCCGGGTAATTGGATTCCGTGCAATTCCTTGTGGGGAAAGGAGGAAACCCTTGGATTTTAGATCCCTACCGTCGAACAGCGTGTGGTTGGGCAATCTACGGCGAACAAGAGCATGTGGCTCAATATCTTCAAAGTCTCAGAAATGTTGTGCCATCCAACCCAGAAAAACAAGAATTCAATAGTATCAGCATACCAGTTTGAGTTCTGGATTTCATTTGTATTGTATTTTGTATGTTGCTTTCATTTGTTATTACGGCAATCACAGTTCAGGATGCAGATTCGGAATGTTCTTTAATGTCCCTGAAAATTGAAGTGCATTGACACCGGGTATTGCTTAAATTCTGCAACCTCTTTTTGGGATAAGCATTCACACAAAAGCAAGTCGCTTAATGCTAGTGACACATGAAAGACATTCGACACCCAGGTAATTTCAATCGATAAGCTGAGTATCTGTTATAACACTACAGACTGACAGAAAAGCATAGTATTTTGAGAGAAGCCATGCACAAGCCTTTTGTTATGGGAGTGCTGAATTGAATTGCGGCATATATCCTCATTCTCATCACCACCCCCCGCCAGCACACTCAAACGCTACGACGAATCTCCCGGGAATGTCTACGGATCCGCAAATATGGTTCAAACCAGGCAAATGAAGGCAGGAATGCCCACAATAACCTATTCGAGCGCATCGAAGCACGACACCAGCATCCTGATTGCATTGTAGGATCATCACAAAGTCTTCTAAATACAATGACAGGCCATGCTCCCTTGATCCAGCCATTGTGGTGAGCAAAGCCAAAGCGAGAGTCTGGCTATTGTATGGTTTTGCTCAACATGAATGTTTCTCTCCAGGAATCCCTACCTCCCTGCTTTGTTCCTTCCTGCTTCACCTGCCACCACGCATTTTCAGGCAGCAGCTTTTGCATTTTGATTTTCCCGGCTTGATATACAGAGATTTTTTAGTTATCAGATAGTTAGCTCTCTAACCAATGCCTGTGATGTGTCAGTACTTAGCAGTAGCTACTAGCGTATAATAGCCTATGAAAGTGGACTGAACAATAGACTGAATCAAGGAAGAAAATATTTATTCTATATATCTATATAGAAATTAAACGATAACAAAATTATTAAAAATAACCTACCGATTCCCGAACTGAGATTTCCTTAGCTATAATATATTGTTGCTAAAGTCTGACAACCCGATCAGGCCTCGGCAAGGTCACAAGAAAATCGCCAGACGTTTGGAAGATGATTGCCGTTGTTTGGAAGGGGCGAAGTGGTGATTCCAAGTAGTCAATGGCAAACAAGGTTGTTCAACAGGAAGGTAGGAACATCGAAGGAAAAGCACGGCGGATGACCTTGTCTAGTTTTCCATACACAAAGCAGATTGAAAAAAAGAAAGGAATAAAGAAATTGAAAAAGAAGAGACCAGAAGTAAAAAGCAAATATATAATAAAGGTAAGTACTAAGATTGCCCAACACGGGAGGATAAATAAAGTGTAAACCAGCACTGCTGGAGGTCCACGCTTTCATCATTCTGTCATCTCCCTCTAACTCCATGATGCTCTCTAAATTGCCACTGCTTGCAGCCCTGGTGGTTTCAGGGTGTGTTGCGAAAATCCTCCCCCCGAGTCAGGATAGCTGGTATGTGGAGCCAGATGACATCAGCAAATATAGGCCTGGAGAATTGATCCGATTTCGCCAACTGGAAAGCAAGATACAACCTCTTCTACCGTTTGGGGAAGAAATCTCCGTGGATGCGGTATATCAGTACCTCTTCCGCACCACGGACAGTCTGGGTAATGCGGTCGCTGCTGTAACGACTCTGATTGCCCCGCACAATTCGGATTCATCGAAGCTACTCGTCTACCAGGCGGCGTATGATGCCGCGAACGGAGACTGCAGTCCATCGTATACCCTGCGGCCTGGATCCTCGAGCGCCGGACTCCTAGGTCTCCTAATGCCAAATAGTACAACATTCGCAGAGGGAATATTTGTAAGAGAATATTTTGTCCTCATTGACTCACTGGTCGTGGTTGTTTGACTGACAATTCCCCTTTGACCATTTCTAGTTAGCTGCCGCGCTGAACCGAGGGTGGTGGGTGATGATAACTGACTATGAAGGGCTGGAAGCTCAGTTCATCGCCGGCCTGCAATCTGCCTATGCCACGCTCGACTCGGTCCGCGTAGTGATCAACGAGGGACACAAGATCGGGCTGGCTCCCGATGCCCGGTACGTGATATGGGGCTATTCTGGAGGAGCATTTGCCGGTGGGTGGGCTGCAGAGCTTCAACCATCATATGCGCCAGAGTTACATTTCTCAGGGGCCGCCTTAGGCGGCACAATTGTCAATACCACCTCCGTCGTAGAATCGATTAATAGAGGGACATTTTCGGGTCTCATATTTAGAGGCTTCTATGGCGCTGCCAAAGCCTATCCCAACCTCACTGACTGGATGGATGAGAATATGCTGCCCAACAAAAGGGACGAATTTTTCAAACATGCCACCAATTGTCAGATCCAGGGAATTGACGGGAGATTCCACGATGTTTTCTCTTATTTTGTTGATGGTGACCGGTCGATATATGAGCCTGTCCCCGCAACTGTGCTTGACTGGTCTGGGCAGATGGGTCGTCGCGGGTCCCCGACTATGCCGCTGTTCATATACAAGGCCGTCAGGGATGAGATTAGCCCTATTGAGGACACCGACAAGTTGGTACATCAATACTGTAGCAACGGGGCCACCATTGAGTACCATCGAAATGTAATAGGGGAGCACGTCACTGAAGCCCTCATCGGATCGGTAAACGCCTTGGAATGGGTTTCGGATCGGTTGGCAGGGAGACCTGTACGACATCTCGAATCATGCTTGACAAAAGACGTACTCATTGCCAATATTAGTCCCTCTGCCATTTCAACACTCGGCATAGAATTGTACTCTTTCCTGAGGTCGATTCAAAGTGCTGGCCTAGGACCTCCGTCTTGAGTGTAGTATATGAAGGACGCTATTTCCCATCCTTGATCCTATTTCAGTTGGACACGGGCATGCTACTGAGTCGTGTGTCATTTCAGGGCATATGCCAGAAGAGCGATGCAGCTATTCGTCAAATCTCACCATTTGCTATCCTCCGGGTTCTCTGATACAAGGCAGAAAGAAAAGGAAGGGAGTTGAAAGGGATTGGGAGGAATCGGAGTTGGGGGAAACTGAGGGGAGCAATATTTGCGAATATTTCAGGCAAAATCTGGAAACAGTGGCGAAAGGCCGCTGGGGAGGACATCACGGGATTCAAACAGCCAATCCCTTCTCATCGACCCTTGAAAGATTCAAGGAGAACTTTTGGTTGTTCAATGAATGTAGTAATTGTGTCTTCGACGGCGGTTCCTTTGTTCAAAGCAAGTAAGTCATGCCTTGTGATAGCGTTGAAAACGATGAGGATGAGGTTATCTGGAGGCAAATTGAACAATAGAATATCGTAGATTTCTTTTTCTTTTCTTTTTCTTTTTCTTTTTTTTGGGAGAAGGGGTTGATTGAGCTTGGCCAAATTTCCACCTTGGCCCATGGACCATTGGTTAATTGGACTTGGTAATCTCTAATACAGCAGCAGATGCAATCACTGGAATATTTTAATGGTTTGCCCATAAACAAGCCTGCGAGTTGATTAGGACTCAGGCGTCAGCACTCCCTATTTGATGGAGAGTGGTCAACAGTGGGAATTATTCAACCGAATTGTATGTTAAGAGTTAGAATCGTTGGATAGCCTTGAGGTACAGTTCTGTCACCATATTGTGTTTTACAAAGATCCCACCCGCAGACGCAATCAACGGGAAGATCCCAAACGGGAATGAAATGTTGTGTTTTCCTTGGTATTTCTCCACACGATATGCTGCATATATAATATGCAGCGTCATTGTTTATGGAAACGTAACAGCCAGAGCGAATAGCTATTTCAGGTTTTGATATCCTTTCAGCCACATAAATGATCCTATTTGATTATCCTTGCCGTATCTCATACACTCCGCTGAGCCTGGAGCTTCGATAACCAGCGGGTAAGGATATATGGTGAATACCCGAGATCTACTACGTAGTTCAGTTTCCGTTCCGCACGAACACGTCAAGCCTGAACCGCGGGCATGAAAGTAAATTCGGCTATCACCATGCCGCAGCAAACCATGCATGGAACGGGATCAAATATACTGATGGTGGGTAATGGTGAAAGTTAGGTGCAGTCCGTCTGGGGCGGGATCGTGCTTGATACTGTGTTGTTGGTTGTTTGTCGTTCCGGTTCTTTGTTCTGGTGCGGAGGCGGCTGAAGAACCGTAGATGGCCGTGCAGGTCACCTGATCCGTGGCGGACCCTGCTGAGTCATCGTATTCGGCTTATCTTGCCGGATCAGGCAAGAAGGTTGATGGCCTCAAGATCCGCCCAAAGAGGCAAATTCGGCTTCGGATTGCCAAGGAGTCATTGCCAGGATTCATCTGCATCCGCTTCGTCTTCAACCAAACCTCCCCATCACCATCCAGATATCCCCGCAGTTAAGAAGCAGGGTGCCTGGGAAAAGTGCTGGAAAGTCTGTGTGGCTGGCGTGTTGGTTGCAAACTAACCCAACAGCTCGCTCCCTTGCTTCCCTGTTCCATTCTACTGCCAATGCTACTAAGAAGAGCTAGCCGCGGGTGTTTGACTTCTCCTTTGTGCTTCTCGACCACCTCACACCCCCTCCTGCACCGACGCCGTGGGGAAGGCACATATCTGTAACCAGGCCATTGTACCGAGCTTTTCGTCTTGTTTGAAAATATTCCAATGCCGGCCTCAGTGGCTCAACGTGTCCACGGATCCTGAATCCCCACCTCCAACTTGCTTTGTTCCTTGGTGATCCAACGATCCAGACTCTAGCCCTTTGCGGCTTGCTGGGGCTACGATCGGTTGGTGGTGAACAAACATGGCCGAGTAAGACTGACTCCACATGGATATATAAAGATGAAGGCTGCTATCAGCTGGGAAATATGGTTGATTGATATCTTGATTGATACACTGCTGATAAATGGGTATCAGATTGATTTCCATCCACGGATGGGGCTATCCGGCCCTCCGAACCTCCTCCACTTCTACCGACCCCGTGCAGAAACTACGCACAAACTCCGCGGATGTCAGATCTATTTCTCCAAACAGGAAAATCCCCAAGTCCAAGTCAACAAATGCGCTGGCGGATATAATAGCGGCATCCGGCGTTCACGGAGTTTCCCGTGCTGCTCTTGAAGGACCCTCCGAACATTCCCTTTCTACCCTGCGCGACCCTCGAGTTGGCAGCACGTCAGATTTATCGACTTCGGCTTCGTCACCACACCACCCAGATTTGAGCAGTGAGGTCGCAAATCTCAGCGACAAGCTCATCCAAGCCCTTAACAGCCAGACTATCTTAGATGATACTCTGGCAGCCACACGCCAGGAGTTGGAACAAGCGCTCATAAGGATTGGACAACTGGAGGAACAAACCCGTCAATATGAGGCAGATATCACTAATGGGGTCCTAATGAGGAGAGTGGATGTGGAAACCGAGTGGGCGAAGCTGAAGGATGAAGCTGCTGAACAAAGAACTCAGCGTGCAACTATTGAAAAGGAAAAAAAGGCAATTGAACTGGAGCTCGAAAATCTAACAGCAGCGTTGTTTGAGGAAGCTAATAAGGTAGGACTAATATCTCCCTGCTGGATCCCGGTTTTCCATAACACTAACTAGCTTTTGTATTGCAGATGGTAGCCGCCGCACAATTAGAACGAGAGATTGTTGAGCGGCGAAATGAACAGCTTCGAGCGCAAATTAAAGATAACGAAATACTTCTTGCCTCTCAGCAGGAGCAACTGAGCGAGTTGAAGGTCGTCATACAGAATATGAATACTGATCAGGACGAGATTCGCAGTCGAACGGATGCTTCCACTACACCTTCTTCTCCAGGCACAACACATCAACATGTTAGTACCATAGATCGCCTTTTGGAGGCGATGAACCTCACACCTACCGCCCCTGGCTCGGGTGAAATATGCCCAGCCCCCTCAACAAGTTACTCACACTTAATGAAACCGGTCTGTCGAACCGATATCCAATCTTTCGAGGATTTCCGTGCGATGATCCATCTAGCTAGAAGCTCTAAGCCGTCAAGTAGAATTGGGAGTGGATCATATGGAGGATTGAATGTTATGGGATTCGGCAATTTCACAGGCAATAAGGAAAGCGAACACAAACACTCGTATTCCAATGGTTCGGCAATGTCTCTCCCGGGCTTTCCCGGTTCTCCTAACAGTAATTCGCCGCCTCGAGAATCGCACGCAGCTGTTTTAAAGGAAAGCCGATTCTACAAAAGAGCACTTGCCGAGGATATTGAACCCACGCTCAGGCTAGATGCTGCACCCGGAATATCGTGGTTAACCCGTCGTACGGTTCTGAGTAGCATATGTGAAGGAGCTCTTGTCGTTGAATATATACCTGCTGTTGCTGCGAAATACTCATTCCCATGTGCGCTCTGCGGTGAAGCGAGAAAAGGAGGGGAGAATGCACGAACTCATCGTTTCCGTACCTCAGACAACGAAAATGCTCAACGCTACCCGATGTGTACGATATGCTTGGAAAGGCTCAGATCTTGCTGCGATTTCGTTGGGTATCTACGACTCATCGTGGACGGCCACGTTCGCATTTTGGATGAAGAGGACGAAAAGGAAGCATGGGAGGAGACTATCCGCCTCCGAGAACGAATGTTCTGGGCTCGGATAGGGGGAGGAGTCGTTCCTGCTTTCCTTCAGTCGAAATGCCCCGAGAAGGATAGTTCTGCTCCCAGTATTGATACGGCTTACCAAAAGTGCGAAGATAAAACGGTGTCTGTGGAAGATCCCTTTGCGCCTGATCTAAACGCAGTCGCAAATTGTACCTCTCAAGTGAGAATGAATGCATTTCAAGCCCGAGAGTCCGACGGACCTGATGGGATTAACAACCCCGACTCCGGAATTGGAATTGGTTTAACAAACTTCCCAACTAATGCTAATGAAAATGAACTTCCTGTTCAAAGGCTTTCTTTGAGCAAACCAACAGCCAAGGCTAACATTGACACGAAAATTTTCCAACTACACGAATCGGATTCTTCCAGGCCAATGGCACCATCGAACAATAGTGCTGGATTGGATCCGCAATTAAAAGTTACGATGCCTAACAAAACAGAGCTCTGAGCGTGTACTCGCCTCTGCTATCAAACCTAAAGAGAGAATGTACTGAATTGGAACCGAACTCGCTATCAATTTTTTTTCCTGCGCTGTCCTTTGACTATACCCATTTAATAGTAGCTGGCTGGAGCCGTTTCTTCGATTCTTCGAGCGCAGGGCGCTGTATCGTTACTTGCACATATAATATATATACTGGTCACACTCAGCTTTTTTGTCGCGCCAGCACACGATTGCCTCTTTTCTTACTCCCGCATGCAGAGGTTTTGTTGTCACCTCTGACTGGCTGGCTAAATGGCATCTCTAATCCTTTCCTTGGCGATTTTCGATTTCCCCGTTCCTATCCTACCAGTACTTCTCCTGCGTCCCGTTTCAATCTCAAGTTTTCCGCGAAAATATGATAGAAGCCAGTATGCGCCATTTTCAACCATATCAGTCTGCTCCCAAAATAAGTTAGTTATGGGCAGACATATCTCATCTACTCGATATTTTTCGTCATTTTGTTATAAAGACATCAACTACGACCACGCATCACTTGGAGCACACTTTTTTGCTCTTACTTCCGGAATCTTTCGTTAATATAACTACTTTCGCTTCCGTTTTTACTCTCCAAACTCTATTTTTCTGTCGCCGCTTAGCCGTTCTTCACGACCATTTTCCACCTATGTGATACGCCTCCTATTCTCCAGATCAATTTTCCTCCTGCCTTTCTTGATTTGGAATGGTTACAGACAAGGACTAGCCAATATCGATATGCAGGAGCAGGTAATTGTCTCCTACTCACGCTATTTTCCAGCCAACTTTTGCCATATTCAGATTGCTTTTTTCTCTTCTTTTCAACCACTATGTGATTTCCAAGATACCATCTTGTAATCCCTTTTTAGTCTAACTAACCATCTTTCTTTTCTGTCAGTATTATTTCCTTGGCGTAAAGTGGATGATTTCATCATGTCTGCTTTCTTGCCCAATCTTTGATTCTTGTTTTTTCCTCTTTCTTGTTTTTTTGGTTCTCTTTTCTTTTTTTTATCCTCAAAAAAGTGCTATAACCTTTGTGCATAACTGGACATTTACCTACCCCTTTCGGTCCTCTTATTTCCGTTTTGGTTTTAACTTTTTTGTTAATTCGGTTTAGGGACAGGGTTTGTTTCGTTATTGGGATGGGATTAGTTCATCTTGTGTATTTTTTTTTTCAACTCCTCTTTTGTTTCCACCGAAGGCCTCAAGCTTGCTTTCGGACTCTCAATTGTTATAGAAATTAGAGTTGGATGTGGATTGATTACTCGCGTGTGGTTGGGCAGGCATGAAGCAGGACAGGAAACGCAATATTTAATCAGTGAGTAATTCAAGCGTTATACGTAATTTCTGCCTTGATCTCTTGGTGTTTGAGCTTTGTGACATAAGTAAGATCTTGCATGGTGATTCTTGTGATCAAAATTGGAATACATGAAGTGAACTTTGCGGCGATGCATTTCATTTGGCCCTGGGGGCGGGAAAAGAATCAGGTATATAGGGATGGATGGATATATCCTATTCCGCTGTAATAAATAAGATAGATAGTTCCCCAAATTATGACACCGTAGTTCACACTCCGTAACAACCGCATGAATAATACAATGATGAAATAAAATCAAAATAGAAGCTCCAGTCAAGGAAAGTAAAATGGCAAATAAAATGAACCAACGCGAGTAATGATGTAAAAGGAGGAGGGTCGAAAAAAAATCGTTCTGCGCAGTACAGTACATTTTGTATCCATGCCCTCACTTTTCCCATAAGCTTGTTTTTTTAATTTTCTTTCTTTCTTTTTTTTTTTTTTTGGAAGGTCACTGCTTAAATTTCTGATGAATATGTCTAATCTGCTCTTCAATATTAACAGTCTGTCCTGGAGGCGGCGGACCGCCAGGTGGTGGATGCCCGGGGATATGTGGGCCTTGGGTTTGGGCTTTCCCATCAGGCGCTTGACTCTGGCCCGGCGCCAGCTCATAACCAGGCACACCGGGTGGCATTCCACCAATCCCCATACCTGTCGCGGCGCGCTTGCGTCTCGCTTCCTCGTCTGGATCCAGTGAGCCGCTGCCATTATCCTCCTGGCCACCACTGCCAGCGGTGGCTCCCGGGCTGTCCACCGCGCTGAGAGATGGGTCGAACACGTCCGTCCGTTGACTAGCCAGACGCTTGAGGTTATTGAAAACATCTGCGGTGGAGAGGTTTGTAGTTGCGTAGCGGGCTTCGGCCTTTGCGCGTTGCTCCTTCCAACGCGGATCCTGCAGCTCGATACGCATGTGATGGTCGATTTCGTTGATGGGGATTTGCTGGCGGCAGTTGGGACAGAGGGTTGTTGGGGCGGCGGTAGTGTTTAGGCGTTTGGCTTGGGCGCGGGGCACGTAGTCGGCGCGGATGCGCATGGGTTGTTGGGTGGAGCCTGGAGGCGGCGTGGGTATGGCGCGCGCAGCAGCCTGCGCTGATTGTGCCTGTTCGCGTTCTTGCTGGCGTTCGCGGATGCGATCTTCTTCTTCAGAGACATAGGGGGCGGTCATCGGGGTTGTAGGGGTTGAGATAGGCGTAGGGGATTTGGGGGCGAAGGGGGACGGCTGTTGGTGCTCTGTTGTGACAGGAACTGGGATAGTGTGCTGTGGGGCTGGGGATGAGACGTCTTGCGAACGTGGATAGGCGTCGTAGTATGTTGTCTCTTCATCTGTGGGCATTGCTTCCTCGATTCGTCTGTCGTGCGGTTGTAGAGACATCATTGCCTTTTGTTCTAGGGAGGCAGTCTGTAGATCGTTCAACGTTGTTGGGAGTGGGAGTTCAGCCTGGTCGTCCGCCTCTGTGAAAAGAACCGTTTCCACCACTACAAAATCATGCCAGTCGATTTGGGCATATGCAATCCGTTCTTGCTCCTCCTGCTCCTCCTTCTTTTGCTTCTGTTGCTGCTGGAATTTAACCCACTCGGCGCGTTGTTTTGCCCGATCGAGGATATGATACTTGTCTTTCACATTCCTTTCTAGTTCCGCTATTCGGCTCGACATTGAATTAGAACCATCCGACTCATCGACTTGAAGAAGGGATGTGTATTGGTCAACAAGCCGGGTGAAGAACTGGTAGAGGCTATGCTGTGGCCGAAGAAAGTCAAACTGGAAGTTTCTCGTTTCGCGCTGGGACAAGGCGGTCATAAACGATTTCCCTCGCTTGGCGACGAATAGGGCAGTCAGTTTGACTACTTCAAGATCCAGAGCATTGATATTCGGCATACGCGCAGAGTAATGAAATTCTGGGGGCTGAGCCGGGCCCTTCGGCTTTTCGGGTTCTGGTGCAGCCACTGGTTCCCCAGCCCGGCCAGCAGAAATTGCAGTCCCCCTACCCGCCTTGATTTCGCTAAGTCGCCATGAGTAAAATGCAGCATAGGCATCACTCGGATTCAAAAATGAGAATTTCGGATTAGATCTTTCTTTGTCGCGGACTCGATCTGATAAAAGAAAAGAGCCAAAAATCAGCATCCTATAGTGGAATAACAGTCGGAATTGGAAGATTCTACCTTCAAAAACAGGACCATTACGCGCTACAAACCCGGCGGTCTTCTCGATAATGGCTAGAAATTTTATCAGTTCCACGATCACAACCATAAGAGGTTTTGACTTTGACACGCTAAGCGGGAGCTACTGACTTCTAATATCTTTCGGAGGCAGAACAATGTCCTCGGGAGGCTTGCTGACTTCTTCGGGTAAGCCTGGCGGTGTCGCAACTGATCCGTTTGTCACGGACGGGGCCATGATGGGCAGTACAGCTGTTGCTGGCAGAGAGTGTCTGCCAACTCCGACCTTGTTGCGGCGAAGGAGATACCAGATGGAGGCTCTGCTCACGTGATTATAAACTGCGATCTAGTCCCAAACAGGCAGTTGGCCCCTGGGCAATTGAAGGGTCAGAGCCGCAGATAACCAAAGGAATTCCGAAGCGAGGATATTGTACGTATTGTAGGATTCTATTCCCATAGAGGCACAATTGATTTTACCCCCGTGTACTGTATTTCTTTTTGTGTAGACGCAGAACCATGTTCTTGCATGTGCTTCGAAATGCTCCAATTGGTCGCTTCAATGTTCAGCCCTTGTTTAGCGGCAAAACATCTGGCCTCAAACAACTGAGGAGTGGTAGGCTACTCCTGAATTCCCACCCAGCCTGTGAAGCAGCGTCTGGAAAATTCAGACATTCCACTTCACTTTTCTTTCTGTGGGATGTAGACACTCCTGCCCTTTTCCCTACTTTCGTTAATTACTAGTTTATTTCCGCGACGGAGACGCCTCTGTTCCCGCGCCGGGGCCCTTCTCTTCCTCACTCGATGAACTCAACGTTTGCTGTGTCAAATATCACTCTTTTTTTCATCGTTTTACTACGAGTTTCTTGAAACAAGGGTGGCTGGCATATAATCTATTTAATCCCTCTTCTCTTCTTTTTTCTCTTTTCCTCCAAATATGGCCTCCAAGCCTGCCAAAGGTGGGCTGGAGGTGAAGCCCCAGAACCGTAACGGTCGTTCGCCATCCCGATCCCCTGGTCATAGGAATCGGAAAAAAGCTGCGGCGTCGAAAAAGCTCGACTACAGCTCTGAAGGGATTTCGGATTATGATGTACTTCAGTTGCCAGTTTCAGATTATAAAATTGTGTTGTTGTTGACGGCTGTATCCGTTGTGGTCCGGCTGTTCAGGATCTACCAGCCAACAAGTGTGGTATTCGATGAAGTGCAGTACGTCGCCACCCTTGCCCCGACTCTGTCAATTGACATAGATACTAAGATTTGGCTTAATATGTCATCAGCTTCGGTGGATTTGCGACCAAATATATCAATGGAAAGTTTTTCATGGACGTACATCCCCCGCTCGCGAAAATGCTCATCGCCCTTGTCGGATACCTGGCTGGATTTCGCGGTGACTTCGACTTCAAGGAAATCGGGAAGGACTATTTGGAGCCCGGGGTTCCATACGTAGCTATGCGTATGCTGCCCGCAATAATGGGTATTATGGCTGTCCCAACCATGTTTCTTACGTTGAAGGCATACGGGTGCCGAACATCCACAGCTTCTATGGGCGCGCTTCTTGTTACGTTTGGTAAGGCCTAAAAACTTGATTTTCTACGCCGCGAACCCCATAATATTGACTGACGCCTCTGTGCCTCAAAAAGAGAACGGTCTTGTTACCCAGTCACGCTTTATCCTCCTCGATTCACCTTTAATCATATTTACGGCCCTAACTGC